GCATTAGGTCCTCATTTTTCCCCTCCCTCCCCGCTCCCCCTGGGGTAGTAAAATTAATGAGGAATGTTTTGCTCCATAGGTAAAACATCTTATTTTGTTTTAAAAATAGAGACCCCTTCATTAAATCTTAACAAGGCTAAGATAAGCTAGGTGATAATGGTGTCCAAGAGATTCATGGCCACAAAGTAATTACAAAACGTGGAAACCAATGTAAACTGTTACAAAATAATGGCTCAAGGTATATCAACTCATCACTGTCTCAAGTGAGAATAAAGAAGTGATCACAGTGTGCTTACTACTATAGATTTAAAAAGCTTGCAGGATTGGTTCTGGGGCTCTCCAACCAATTTGGTTGTATATTCCTCATGACCACGTAGTTTGGTTACCTGGATTTTCATTAAAGGCATGCCCAGTGTTAACATTGCCTGTTTATAGTGAGAATGAACTCAATGGAGGCTGAATTTATGTGAAGAATCAAAATGGAGTTAGAGTTCCCATTGTAAACCATACATTTGTGTAAACCAATTACTTAGAATTTAATCTGGTCAGATAAACCAGTTAGGAACAGAAATGGGAGTAGCAAGAACAAGAGGGTAAGGGGAAGGTAGGAAGCGGAGGGGAGGAAGGGGGAACCAATCTCATAACTCCCCTTCCCTAAGGGGAGGAACAACAGAAACCATGGGGGAAGGGAGACAGTAGACAGTGTAATATATGAAAATATCAATAATTTATAATTTATCAAGGGGTCACGAGGGTGGGAAGGTGGGAGGGAGGGAAAAAAGAGGAGCTGATACCAAAGGCTCAACAGAAAGTAAATGTTTGGAAAATAATGATGGCAACATATGTACAAATATGCTTGATACAATTGATGTATGGATTGTTATAAGAGCTGTAAGAGCCCCCAATAAAATGATCTTAAAAAAATGTCTAAGCTATAGTGCATTCCCTTCATTGATCATGGTGTTTATTAAAATTCCTCCACTCAAACTTGGGTCGGCGTGCTTTCTTTCTGCAAGGACTCACTGATGGCTGCTTATTTTAGGAAAAGTCTTTGAAATCTCAGATGCTGTTCTCTGTGATAGCTGGGCACCGTCAGATCCCTTCACCATACTTTACTATCTATCCAAATCTCCAGTGATGACCTCAGTATGTAAACACTGAGCAGAGCCACATCCTTAGAACAACTACTCGTCCATTGATTATGCCTATGCCTAAGGTGGTAGCTTCAGCTCATCCATAGGAGATGCACATACCCACACACCCACTTCATATTAGATTCTTGAATAATTACATTTCAAGTAACGTCCATAAGACATTTGAGATTTCTTATAATAATAGCATCATTAAACTA